CTTGTTTTTCACAAGGGAAAGGCTGTTGCTAGGCCACCCTGGTCCCCGGGAAGGGGTTGTGCAGCCAATCCGGGAGGCTGTGCTGGTGGTTCGCACACACACACACACACGTGCACAGGCACACACATGCACATACGCATGTACACGCACACACGCATGTACACGCACACCCCTCCTGCAGCCAAAGTGCTGCCAGATGTGCCTCTTCATTTCCACATCACACCTATTCACTTCTTCCAGCCAAGCAGGTTATTAAAGCTCCTGAGATTTTATTTTATAGCCAGCTGTGAGTTTTCTGCCTTTAATTCACGCTCAGGGTGGAGGGGAGAGGGGTGATGCTGGGTGGGGGTACTGATGGGGTGGGGACACAGGGAAGCTGGTTCCTTCTTCCACTGCTACCAGTTTGGTCTCCGAAAACCTCTATCTCTCTCTGAAAACGGGACAAATCGTCTCTCTGTGTCCCCACAGCAAGGGGACAGACTGCTCCAGGTTAGGGGCTTGCTCTGAGCTGTTATTATGTACCAGCACTGCTCCACTCTGAGGTATTTGGGGCTTTCACAGCACTTCAACCACCAATGCTATGATAACCAGCATCAAAGCAAACCAGGTGGTTGATGAGGGGATGCTGCTTCCAGCCACGGTCCTCATAAAAACAGCCCCCAGCAGCCAGAAGAAGAGCTGGACCACGGCCAGGGGCTGGTGATGTGGGGTGGGAGGGTCAGACACATCCCTGGCATGGGGTCTCCTGCTCACAGCTGCTATTCTGCTATGGTGCTACTATAAACACCCTATGGGTGTCCAACACCCATCCCAGAGCCCTGGGATATGAGCAGGGTGGGAGCACACATCCCCTTTTACAGCTGCAAAGCTCTTGCCATGCAGAATAGGAACAGACATCGAAAATGTGCAGAAAACCATGGACAATCCAGGCAAAACTCAGTTTCTGAATGTCCCCCATGACAACCACCACCATGTAGCAGGAGGGCAGAAAGGGGTAGCTCAGTAACAGCAAGGGAAAGCACTGAATTGCTGCCTGCAGTTCATGGAGAAGCTGTTGCTAGACAGAAGTAAAAGCCGTCGCCATCAGCTCCCATTGGCTCAGCCCCACTCCAATGATGGGCTTATCAGTTACCTGCTCTCGCAGCTGGCTGGAAAAAACTCATTTGACAATGTTTTTCCTCTGATAAAAAAGCCCATTGCCGGATTCATGGGTTTGGGTTAATCATTATTCAGGGTTGTTGAGACAATGGCCAAGTTTTCTGCAGATTCTTCAATTATCATGAAATTTAGCGTAAATGGTGAGCCAGCCCAGCTCTCCTTCACCCGCCTAAAGATGCTCAGCCTCCCAGCACGAGCACCAGCTGGCTGCTTGGGTGATGAACCAGGGTGAAGGTTGGCTGATCTCAGCCATAGCAACGCCTTGGCACGTAGGTGAATATTCACAAGCACCTGTGAAAATCCTGATTAGCTCTTGAAGGGTTCACTGGGTGCAAATAGGATGAAAGTTGCAGTTCAGATTATTCAGAACAAACATCATTTTGTCAGCAAGGAGTGGGTTGCCACCACTCCTCATCATCCATGGTGGGGTTTGCTCCTTGGCAACCCTGCATTGGGGGGCTGCAGAGCACAACATCGGGGTTTTTTTCTGATGTAAATTGGGATTGACCCCCCAAATTTGTTTCTCAGCTTGCCCAAGAGCTGGAGGTCACAGCACAGAAATGAAGCTAAAGAACCACAAGAGCACCAAAGGGCAACCAGCCTTTTCCTGCGGGGCTGCCTTCAAATTTGCCCTCAAAGGAGGGGGTGTATTTTAGCAGAGGGGTTAAATCAGTGTAGCAGTGACAAAGACAAGCTCTTAGAGGCAGCCTGGGACTTTTCCAGCACCTCATGCCACGGTGCAAGCCCAGGGCTGTGCTGCCAGGAGGGCATGGGGGCAGCCGTGCTGGCAGGCTGGGGAGCTCCGCTGTGGGCAGGCAGGGAAAAACCTGCCCTGGATCCCAGGGGACGAGTGCTTGGAGGAATCTGGCCCTTGCCTGGAGCTCAGCTCAGGCTTACTTTTGGAAGTGGGTTTCAGTAAAGTGTGTGGATGGTCAAGACTTCAGAAATTATTATTTTTTTGTCCTTAATTACACCTTCCCCTCGCCGCTGGCTGATGGCAAAGCAGGCTGAGTCACAGGCTGATAAAGCCCTCATGGCCTTCCACCTCCTTTTGCAGCTTTCTCCAGCCTCACCCCAACACACCCATATCTCACATCGAGCCATCACATGGCTTAGGAAAAGTCAGTGCCACGGAGTGGTGAGACATGGAGGGCTGGGGGGACACCACGGGGGAGTTCAGGGGGACACCATGGGGTGCTCCATGCAAGCTCTCCACAAAGCCACATACCCCTCAAGGGGATGCAGTTATATGGGCTAGGTTGTATGGTCATGAGGAAAACATCCCTCTGCTGTGCTCTTCCTCTGGGTCTGATTTCCCAGGAGCAGAAGACAGCCCTGCTGTGTCAGCTTTGGGATGCCACCATCTTCTGACAGCAGCTCTGCTGACCCCCTGAGCTTTCACCTTTCCTACAGCTTTGCTTCCCTCCTGCCACCATGGGAGGGGTGGAAATGGCAGAGAAGAGGAAACAGAAAATAATCTGTGCCAGCTGTGCTCATCCTGCACTCTCCGGGGTGTCCCCATGGGGTTCAGGTCCCTCCCATACCCTGCCAGGTTGTGGTGACATTGCACTGCACCCCGAGGCTCACGCAGAGGGTGGTGTGGGTGTGTTTCACAGCTTGCTGCGTCAGGAACGTGTCTGGGACAAACTGGCATGAGCAGGATTTAAAGACCTGCTGTGGAACCGTGTTTCCTACCAGGTCTGGTGGAGAGTGCCTGGACCATGAGCTCACGGCGCAGCCCAGGTTATTGCTATTTCTATTGAAGGATGGTTGTGCTTGGGCCAACGGGCAGACAGAGCTTTTTGGATATGTCTGATGTTTCAAAGTGTATCTATCTGAGCTGTCCCCAGCTTCCTCTGCCAGGCAGGCAGGAGTTAAGATGGGAAGTGCAAGATGCTTCTTGTAATGGCACTGATGTGTGCGTCAGGTGTGTCTGCGTCACCCAGCTCCCTTGGCCGCTTCCCAAGGCTGGGGCTGAGCTCTCCTTCCCTCCCTCTGGCCGCCGGGAAAAGCCTGGGACATGTCTAGCCTGGCCGTGGGGACATGACTCTGTCTCACTGCTGGCTGCTGTGACCAGGTTCCCAAAAGTCCTCAGGGTGCTGGCAGCCCTACTGTCACCCCCATCCCACAGCCCCGGCAGTGGGATTGGGGACCCCATGCTAAAGAGGTGGCCTTACCCTTGAAGCACCCACTAAAAATATCTATTTCCTACAACCACGGCTGCTCAGTTCCTCAGGGAAGCGTGTGACTCACCATGTCCAGCCCCAAACTCCACTCCAGTGCTCACACCCCCAGCTGGGGCATGTCTGTGCAGCCACAGGTACCTACACATCACCCATGAAGCAGCAGCCTGTGGGCACAGCCACTGCAGGTGGCCACCACCTTGTCCCCACACTGTCACAGCAGTCCATGCCTTGGTTCAGCATCACTCCCACCCCACAGAGCTGGCACAGCTCTTGCTCCCAGACGCTGTGTGCCAGGTGGGCAAATCCCAACGGTGCCTCTCCTTAACATGGGGAGCTGGGACAGCCCAGCTGCTGGAGGGTGACACAGCAGGATCCTTTCTCTTGCATTGGGCTTTCTCCAAGCAGCTGGCAGCCCTGGACCGCATGGTGCTGGCTGAGCCCATCCCCTGCTCCTCTTGCCTTCACAGGGATGTCCACAGATTGGAGGGGACCAGCCCATACCCCAGGGAACTGTTTACTCCAGCCACCCTCAGACCACTCAAAGCACCTTTTCTGGTTGCAGGTGGGTTCTAAGCCCTGGGGCATGGCATGGTACACAGGCAGCCCTTTGCCAACCTCATCCCTGCCCTCTCCCTCCTGGAGAGCTGCCAGATCACATCACCCAGTACATACACAAGTGTTCAGCAAGAACAATTTTTAATTTGGAACTGGACAATTATGTGAATAGTCCATTTAAAGATGAAGTGCATCCTATGCTCTGACCCAGGCTGGACACTGATTGATTAGATCCAGACTTTCTTTTTAACTTTTGACAAGTGCAGGTAGTGACAGAAGAAGAGGTAATGGCTTTAAACTAGAAAAGGTTAAATTTAGATTAGATATTAGGAAGAAATCCTTTCCTGTGAGGGTGGAGAGACACTGGAACAGGTTGCCCAAGGAAGTTGTGGCTGCTCCTCCCTGGAAGTGTTGAAGGCCAGGTTGGAGGAGGCGTTGAGCAGCCTGGTCTAGTGGAAGGTGTCCCTGCTGATGGCAGGGGGGTTGGAACTAGATGATCTTTAAGGTCCCTTCCAACCCAAACCATTCTATGATTCAAGCTTCACTGTGCAAAGAAAGTGAGGAGGAAACTGGTTGTCTAACTGGCCCCAAATGTTTTGCAGCCTTTGGGTATCAGCAAGACACCTCAGTCCTCCCACAAGAAGACTTGTCACTTGCCCAACATGGGGGTAGCCCCTTCCCAGAGGGCAGAGGAGGGGCCCTGGCAGCCCAGCCCACCACTGCACCATCACACGCCCACGGGGGCTCTTCCAAGCTGACACCAGGACCCTGCTCAGCCCTGAGCACCAAGTGAGAGACAAACACGGGACAGCCACAGCACTTATTTCTGTGCCTCAGCAAGAGGCTGCAGACAGCATTTTCAGCAGACTGCCAGTGTCCCAGGTGTCACCATTTCTCCATCCCCAAGCGGGGCTGAGGGTGTCCGAATCCCCCATGCTGCTCCCCACAGCAGGGCCGGGTGCTGGGCAGAGCCCATGGGGCACAAACCCTGGGGAAGGAGGTCAGCAGCCACTGAAGGTACCAGGATGGCCCAAAACACATGGAGAACATGCTGTCCACCATCACAGGCTGCTTGCCATCCGGTCTGTGGGCCAGTACCGGTCATCCATGTACTGGCTGCTGTCGGCGGGCTGTGATGGGGCTGGGGGGCCGGGGGGGCAGGCTACGGGCCAGCTCTGCCTCCCACTGCACCTCCACCAGTCTGTACAGCTCCATGGCTGTCTGAGCATCCTCCACCGATGAGTGCCCTCTGCCACCGACCTGAGCAAAGGGGGAAAAAACCTCGTTAGACAAAGGGGGTGGCAAAAATCCCACAGGTCACGTTATCAGCTTGCTTGGAAGGATGCAAGTGCTTGTGGTTTTGGACATGGCAGAGGTTCAATGCAGCCCAGGAGATGCAGGCATCTCTTGATCACTTTCTGGAGAGCACAGGTTCCGTCCCTGCTTTACTGAGATGCTTAACGGTCAGCTTGGGTGGTCCTGGGCTCCCCCAGCTTGATGACAGCCAGAAGCACAGGATGAACAAGGTTCATCTCCATCTCACAACGAGCACCCATGGAGATGAGGGGACCAGGCTGAACACACAGGCTCATAGCAAACCCAGGAACTGCTCATCTCAAGGTTCCTGGTGCTTACCTGTATCTTTTTCCGGAGCAGATGCCTGGCCAAGCTCTTGAGTGAGACGCAGGCCCTGCCAGGCAGCCCTGCCCTCTGGTTCAGCATGGGGATCCGGCTGGTGTCCCGGGTCCTGTCTTTCGGGTGGAAGTACTTCAGGGCTTGGAAGTCATTGTGGATGGCGTGTCCTACCACAATCTTGTCTTTCAAGATCTTCAGGATCTGGAAGTGTCAGAAGGGATTAGACAGTCAGTGCAGCAAAAGAAACAAAAATTAAGCATGAAATAAACAATTTTGTGTTAAATTCAGTTCTCTCAGTTCTAGTTTTTTAGGTTGCCAGAACAGAGGAGTAACAAGCAAACCAACCCACTGCATAGCTTTGGAGGCTCACCATCCTGTCCTTGTGTCTCTGCCTCAGAGCAGCTCAGCACGGGCCACCAGATAACTCAAAACCTTTTATTTATTTTTTTAAAAAATTTCTCTTTCCCCCCTCACCTCTGCCTGGGCAGTCTTGAATGGAATCGCGTTCTTCATGTGCTGCTTGGTGATGCCACTCCAACGCGTCCGGTAGTCCACAATGGGGAGCTCAGGCTGAACGTACTTGTCGTAGATGACATCCCCCTCATAGTTCACCACGGAGCACCGTGCCAGCTCGCTCAGCCTGCCCTGAGGTCCTGTGCCCACCATCTCACAGTCGATGGCCACGTACTTGCCCGGGCGCAGGAGTGGGGACGGCATCTGCATCTTCTTGGAGCTGCCATTCCCCTGGGACAGCAGCACGGAGTGATGCCTGGCTATGCTGTCTGGAGAGGCGGATGGGGACAGAGATGGGGAGACAACCTGTTTGGGCTTGGGGACCTTCCTGCAGCGTGGTGCCATGGTGTCACCCGCCTCGGTGAGTGTACTGCGTGCCTCCAGCCCTGACACGGGGGTCTGGCTGCACAGGCGCTGGCGGGGACCCAGCAGCCCCTTCTGCTCCAGCAGCGCCCGGCGCTCCAGGAACCGCTGGTGCTTGCGGCTCTTCTTCTTGCTGCGACCCTGCGGGGTGCTGGGACCCTCCAGGGGCTGAGCGCAGCCCCCCGCCCTGGGGTCATGGGGCCCGGAGTCCTTTGGGGTGGGCAGCAGCGGGGTCATCTGCCCTTTGCCAGGGGGCATCCCTGCGGGAGCAGGAACAGGGGGGTATGAGTGACATGCAAGCCCCTCTTCCTCCAGTGTCCCCCCCCTCCGGCACGGGCAGTGGCTATGGGGCAGTGGAAGGACACGGACACAGTGTCACACCCTGTCCCCACGCCCTTGCTCCCTCATTGCCTGGTCCCTGCCTGCCCCATTGCCGGTCTCAGGGTCCTTCCC